CAAATGCTTTTACTGTTCAAATTGCTCATATGGACTCTAACCATAGAACTCCAGTGATAGTCAAATAGATCTTACTCAGGCACAATATCAACAATTAATGGCATTACTTCAACCACTGTAGCCTTCCACCATTGCCTAGTCCTCTGGCAACTAGATTCAATCAGTCATTCCTCCTAAGTCAACTCCTCACATTTCTAATATTTCAAATTGTTTATCCACCTGCACACACAATCATTCATTCCCACAAGAAATTCCTTGGATAATTGACACCGGTGCGACTGACCATAAGGTCTATTGTCCTTCTTTTTTTTTAACACTATTAATTCTCCAGTTTCTCACTCTGTTAAGTTACCAAATGGCACAACTGCACCTATTACACACACGGGCACAGTTCACTTAACACCCTCACTTCACCTCACTGAAGTCTTGTGTGTTCCTTTCTTTAGTTTTAATTTAATTTTAGCTAAGAAGTTGGCTGCCAATCTCACCTATTGTCTAGTTTTTTTCTCTAATTTTTGCCTTATTCAGGACCTTTCATCTTGGACAACGATTGGGAAGGGTGAAGTGAAGAATGATCTATATCACCTGCTCAACATGGTTGTCTCTCCATCTACCCTAGTGACCACTCTTTCTCACTTTTCCACAGTTACAAAGTCTACTATTGCTTATGTTTCACACACTGAAAATATTATTGACCTATGGCACTGTCACCTAGGCTATCTTTCTTTTCCTGTTCTGAATATGATTACAGATCCTATTGTAAAGAAAAACATTTCAACTACTAATACAAAGCCTTGTTACATTTGTCCATTGGCAAAACTTCATAGACTTCCTTTCCCTCATAGCAAACATAAGACATCGATACCATTTGAAATTGTGCAGTGTGATCTCTAGGGACCTAGTACTGTTCCTTCTTATAATGACTCAAAATATTTTTTAATTTTAGTTGATGACTTCACTAGGAGTACATGGTTGTATCTCCTTCCTAACAAAGCTGCCACTCGGAACATCATTAAGTCTTTTACCAATATGATTGAAAATCAATTCAACCTTACCATCAAAATTCTAAGAAGTCATAATGGTAAAGAATTTAAAATGAAAGAGTTTTTTTCATAAAAAAGGGATCCTACATCTAACAAGTTGTGTTGCCACTCCACAAAAAAATGGAGTTGTGGAGAGGAAACACCAACATTTGCTTAATGTGGCTCATGCTTTAAAATTCCAAGTTGGTCTTCCTCTTGAATATTGGAATGATTGTGTTTTGACCACCACATACCTCATCAATAGGACCCCTAGTCCCCTTCTTCAAAACAAAACCCCCTTTGAACTTTTATTTAAATCTCCACCCACTTATGCTCATTTAAAATTTTTTGGGTCTCTTTGTTTTGCTGCTACTCTTTCACAAGGAAGAACAAATTTTGATCCCGGAGGTTACATGTGCATTTTTCTTGGATATCCTTTTGGAATTAAAGGTTATAAATTGCTTGATCTTAAGTCCAAAACCACCTTTATCTCTCAGGATGTGCTTTTTCATGAGTCAATCTTTTCATTTCAATCTTTAGCTTATCCTCATCCAGTCCTTCTTCGAAACCCACCCTTGTTTTTACTAAACTTTTACCAGACTCATTTAATTTTCCCACAATTTCTTCCTGTCCACAAATCAGTCCATCCCCTCACCATCCCGCCACCCCACCCTCCATACCTGTACCAAATTCACTTCAACAACATGTTGCACTATCACATAACTCTTCCACTTTTTCTCCCATTACTAATCCCTCACTTTCCACACTAGCTTCTCCACCTTAACCCCTTCTTCGCAAGTCACAAAGGGTAAGGACAGCTCCACAATACTTGCAGGAATTTCATTGCAACCAGACTTCATGTTCAGGCCCTTCTTAGTTGTTGTCCACAACTTCTTCTTCCTCTACTGGTAAGTCTTCCTTTTTAGCTAATTTTCTAACTTACCAAAATTTTTCTCCTTCTTTTACTGCTTTATACACCTCCATTTCCATTGCTTCTGACCCTACCACTTATAAACAAGCTGTCAAACACCCTGGCTGGTGCCAAGCCATGAACACTGAGTTGTCCGCCTTAGAACAGAACCAAACTTGGATTATCACTGATTTACCTCCTGAAAAAGAGGCAATTTATTGCAAATATGTCTACAAAACTAAGTTTCATGCTGATGGTTCTATAGAAAGGTTGAAAGCAAGACTTGTTGCAAAGGGGTTCACACAACAAGAAGGTATAGACTATACAGAGACTTTTTCACCAGTCGCCAAGCTTGTTACTGTAAGAGTTTTATTATCTATTGTAGCAGTACAAGGCTGGTCATTTCTTCAATTTGATGTTCACAACGCATTTCTCCATGGTGATTTGAATGAGGAAATTTATATGCGTAAACCACCGGGTTATAACAAAGGAGGACCCAATCAAGTATGCAAGCTTCTCAAAAGTCTCTATGGACTTAAACAAGCCTCCCGACAATGGTATTCTAAATTTTCATCTTCTCTCATTGATTTTGGATTTGAACAATCTAAAGCTGATTATAGTCTCTTTACTAAACTAGATTGCTCATCTTTCATTGTCTTAATAGTTTATGTAGATAATATCATTGTAGCTGGTAATTGTCCTTCTTCCATTGCATCATTCAAATCTTTTCTTCACACTCAATTTAAGATCAAATATTTTAGATGTTTGTGCTATTTTCTTGGTTTGGAAGTTGCCAGGTCTTCCAAAGGTATTCACTTGTGTCAAAGAAAATACGCTTTGAACATCTTGGCTAACATAGGGACCCTCGGTAGCAAACCATTTCAACTACCCCTTGAGCAAAATTTTAAGCTCAGCAAATCTTCTAGTGATCCATTACAAGACCCGAGTCTCTATATAAGACTTATTGGTCGTTTGTTGTATCGTACAATCATTCGGCTTGACATATCTTATGCTGTCCAGCTCCTTAGCCAATATATGGATTATCCCACGACTTCACATTTGGCTACAGCTCATAAAACTCTTTGATACATCAAGGCAGCACCTGGACAGGGTATCTTACTTTCATGCTTATCTCCACTTCAACTTATGGCCTACTATGACTCAGATTGGGCCTCGTGTCCTGACACACGTCGCTCTGTTACTGGGTATTGCATACTTCTTGACAATTCCCTTATTTCTTGGAAATTCAAGAATCAATCTATGGTGTCCCGCTCCTCAGCTGAGGCCGAATATCGATCCATGGCTTCCACATGCTCTTAGCTCACTTGGCTTAGGTACTTGCTTCTTGATCTTCGGGTTCCACATCCTAAGGCTGCCTTACTTTATTGTGACAACCAAGCTGCACTCCACATCGCTGCTAATATGGTCTTTCACGAACGTACCAAGCATATCAAGTTAGATTGTCAATTAATCAGAGACAAGATCCAAGAAGGCAGCATCATCACATCTCATGTTGCCTTACAGTGCCAACTAGCTGATATATTTACAAAGGCATTGCCCTCCTTCATCATTAAGTTACATTTATCCAAGATGGGAATAGTCAACCTCTATTCTCCATCTTGTGAGGGCTATTACACAATATAGAGAATCAAGCTACAAGACGTTTGAGCACAAATATAGAAAAGGGCGGATTTATAATTACACTAGTTTCCTTGTTTTTTATTCATTTGTAAATACATTTTCTATTATTAGCTAGCTTCCATTGACAGTACAGAGTTGGTTAGTTTGTTACACAAGAGGGATATAAATACCCACAACATTATGTACAATGGATTCACCGAGGAATATACAAATTTTTTTTCCTTCATCCTTCGTGTACTGCTCTCTGATTTTCCTTCTCACCATTACGATTTCTGTCACCTTCGTGCCCTCCTTTTGAAATTTTCATCTCATCCTCTGATGATTCTTTATAAATCGGTGTATCAAAATAAATAGAGTTTGAATTGTCCATTAATGTTGCTCTGTAATTCCTGGGATGACTAGCCTCATCATTCTTACTTCCCCTGGCTACACTAGTATTCGTTTTCGACAAGGTTTGAACATTCTCAAATGGTCTTTCATTACCTGATCCTTAATCAGTGAGGGATGGGTTTCTTTAAGCTTCTTGGTACTCCATTGTAGATGGTCCTCTTCCTCTGTGGATATTTGGAGAATGCAATGGTCCTCCTCCATTAGTAAAACAAAAGAAAACTCAAAAGATGCAGGAAAACAAATGGCTCTGACTTGCTCCTCCCTTCGATCACTGTAAGAAAGGGAAAGTTCTAGAGAGAAGTTAGAGCGTTTTCATTGCAATCAATTCAGTCTAAAAAAAAGAAATTTATCCATGTAATATAATAATTATATCTTATGTTAACAAAATGAATTTATTTTATCTATTTATTATGTTTTCAATTGAGTGATTACACCAAGTGACACTATTGGCGTGGTCATGGTGTACCTATTATATTCCATATTTTCTCTGGCTCGAGGGGAGAATAAAATGATTAAAGTGTATAATACACCAACATCAGTGATTGATCTCTGTCATATAAAATGTTACTTAAACTTAAAATATTGACTTAATCAATCATAACTACTGAATAGATAACAAGTCATAATAAATATTGAGACTCATTATTAAATCAATAATAATGATTAATCAAGTTAGCAACAACATTTTAAGACCAAGTAGCATTAACCCTCTTCCAATCCTTCAACTAATAAACTCCGTTCATTGAGTTTCCAACTTGTCTTTTCTTTTCTTTTTACTGTATACATGGACTGACAATTCCTTATCTCATGCATACAAGTTATTACCAGAGAAATTAATAAAAAAAAAGAAAATGAATGTAAAACAAAAAAAACCAGCAGACAACATAACATGCTAAACTGTTCTAGTTGAGCGGCTGATTATTTCTCTCCCTTCAACATTCATCGAGTTCTACGGACATATCAAATTTATGGGAAAAATCGGAGCTGCTTGTGAGGTCAAACCCAACATCAAAGTTTGTAGTGTTCAACAATCTGCTCTACGGCGGTGTTACAGTTTCCCACCGATTGCAGCCTCTGATCTTGACTTGTAAGACACCGCCCACCACCCCATGATCACCATTGACGACCTCACAGCACTGTCTTCGTGGTGCCTGGTCAATGAATAATTTAACCAGAACGTGTTAGACATTATGAGTCATACTTGGAGCTACAAACATTTCTATATGATAAATTAAAAAACAAACTAAAACTGTAGCCAAATCCAAATATCTAGAACGGACATGTAATGTATGGTTGACAGCAAATCCTGGTGGTAATTGAGGTACAGATTCATCGTATTGTATCGTATGTTCTTCGATCTATTACATTTGCACGCAGGGGCTCACGTTCTAAATAAATATTTATATCCCCTTCATCATATTTATTGTTCTAAAGTTCCAAGGAATCAAAATCAAAGAGTTTATTGACATAATTAAGCAAGAGAGTGACCAACCACTACCGGATAGTTGGTCCATCATACACCATCTGGCATTTTTCGGTTTCAAGTTATGATTAAGATCACTAAAACAAAAGTGCGAGTAGTTCGAATTACATGACTAGTTTCTATAGACATAAAAGATTTTGCAAAATTGGATATTTGCGGAATTTTTATTAATTAAAAAGCAGCATATATAACATCAACAACATATTCCCTAAATAAATTATTATATATATGTCAAAAAAAACAATTATTGAAATTAATATTTTTCACCTTCTTCCACAAGTCAGCCTCGAACACTGCCGCTGAGACATTGAAATACTGAACAGAAAATGCTGGCAGATACTTTTTCTCACCACATTGCTTTCCTTTCTCATCCACAGTCCTCTTGTACATGCTCTGGGTCTGACCCGTTCCAACCTCCACAACTCGGTCAACTAAATAAATCACTGGCCTTTCGCACGGGTCCTCGCTCATGTGCCGGGTATTGAATGTGAATGGATCCTGACTCCAACTCCTCCACGTCACAAACGTTTGAATTGGAGTTGCCAACACCTTGGCTGTGACCAATGATGGGTACAACTGCACGGTGTAGCCCCACGAAACTGAAATGGACCAGTTCCTCTTTAGGTCGTAGCAGAAAGTATGCTGCAGGGCCCGACCCGGGTCCATTTTGTAGGCTTGGACTAGCTTCTTGAGGGAGTTGATACGGGTCAATCCGGGAAACATTGGCTCCACATAGTCTAGGTGGTGGAGTGACACTAATGGTGCCACTGGGTGTGCTGCTAGTAATCCAAATGGGTCCCCTCGTATGTCTACCTATAAAACACACAGCAACAAGGTTAAAAATAGCCTCCAATTCCATATAGAAGAAAATTTATAGAAGTTCCCACATCACATTCATTTGAGATTTATTTACACCCATAGGTCTCCATTGAATTCATGTGGGTAATCTACTGTTGAGAAGAATTAAAAAAAAGAAGAAAGAAGAGAAGTTCCAAATCTAACAAAGGGAGGTTTATACTAAGCCTAAAAACCGTAACACAACCGCAATAAGCCTCACGATGAAGAAATAAGTTTTAAAAGATACAGTTAAGTATCTTACCTTTTGAATCGGACAAGAAATTAGTTAAGGTACGGAACACCTTTGACAATTGAAAAAAGAAAAGAAAAGAAAAGTGATCTATCATCATTAAAAATCGAAGGAAAAAAGTAGTACAGCAAATCTCACCCCAAATTTGAACAAGAATTGGAAAGCTGGCCTTTTCAAATGGAACCAAACTCAAAAGGATACCCTAATTTCTCATTTTTACAAATATTATCCCTATGGTTTTAGAGATGGTTTGAAATTAGAAACCTGATGAAAACCGAGCTCCTTAGTGACCGGTACACCAATCTCGCTTATGCAACCTCCAATCTTCTGATCAGATCCGTACAAAGATGCATATCGATCAATGCACCCATCAAGAACCCTAACAAGCTCAGCGGCTAAGGGGTAACTAATGGCGAACCCACCACCACCATAGGCCATAGTATAAGAATGTATCACATCTTGTTCAACGCTCTCCGAATTCCCACCAATATAATACATCTGATTATGGTCATACTTAGCCAAAACCGTGACCAAATTCTCGGTAAAAAACACTGTATCATCGTCACCCAACACGAACCACCTCACATTTTGTAACCCTAGTTGAAAACTCTCCTTTATTACGCGTGCAATGCGTACGGTGGACCTCGAACCATACCAGCTCGTGTACCTGAACCTCGATGAGTCCTCGGAGATCCTATAAGGTGGGGATGTTTCCGGCCACCTTGTGTTATTGGCCGGCTTTTCGTTGAGCCACATAAAACCTCGAGTGACATTAGGTTTCCACCATGATTCACAGTAATGCTGACGATCATTCCATGTCTTGGCTGAGCCTCCAATCCCAAAGAGTATATGTGAAATATTGGTTTCTTCATGGTCCAATACATAATAATCCTCATAGCTTGAACGTGTGAAGGTTTGTTCACATTCTGAACGATTGAGCCACTGTGAGTGGTTTGAGAATGTAGAGTAAGAGATGAGAGAGATTGAAGCAATTGCACAGATGGCTAGAAGACTTTTCATGAAAGTTGAGAAAGTATCAGGGAGTTTTATATTTGGAAAGGCTAGAAAATCTCTGAGTTGGGGAGGGTAATGGAGAGTTTCTGGTGTTTGGGACATCTTTTAATTCATTGGAGAAGATAGACCCTTAAAATCTGGGAACCTCAACGAAGAGGGTGTGTTCTAATAGAAATCAAATTCCTATTAGGAGTTGGTTCTTCAGCCTGACTTTATACGTTTATGGCCTCCCATACCTGTGGGCTTTGTTTTGAGTAATTTTAGATGGACTTAAAAATTAAACTTAAAAATTAGATTTAATCTCAACTATTGAATAAGTAGTAGGTCCCAATAAATGGTGGGATGTGAAATCAATAATTGTGATTAACAAGTCTAATTTTTAAGTTTATTTTTTAAGTTTATGTAGCATTGTTCTTTTGTTTTTTTGTCTTTCTTGAAAAAGAGTTGAACCTCTTGTTTGTTTATTTATTTGAGTAGTTGGACCAGAGGGTATTAATTAATGGCAATAAGACTTGGTGTTTCGGTTACAGACATAATAGGCCGACTGGTTTTAGCAATTTAGTGGCAAAGTCTCGATCAATTATTCAAAAAAAATAAAGTTCAAGTAATTCAAGTGACAATAGAAACTAGTTATAAAGTAAGACATTCTGCGTTCGAATCTTAATAGTCCTTTTGGACCAGACCATGAGAGATTTATTTTTCATGAATACTCTAATTTCGGCTTGAATGAGTTGTTTTTGACCAGAACAGTGAGGAGATTAATTGAGGTGAGTTTAATTTGACCCCGACAGTTAAAAAAAAAAGAAACTGAACAACATTTGAGAGAAAGAGAGAGAGTCAAAGTTGAATTGGTGCAGAGGATTCATGTCCATTGTCCTGCTTATGAGTAGGACACCGGAATTTTTGGGCTTCAAATCAAGTTAAAGCCTAGAAAATGGTAAGCCCTTTTAGCATTTTCCAAGTCTAAGCCCAACCTAATTGCTGGGGCTCTTGTATAGATGACCTCGTTAATATCTATTGATTACGGTAATTCGTACTTGAAGAGACATTATAATATAAATGATTTTAAGAGGGATGTTAGTGGTCGTTGAATGAATCTATTTGAAACCATCATATGAACTTATTAAAGTCTAACATGTTTTATATTAGAGATTCAGCAGTGGATGAATTGATGCGATTGCCTCGACTGTGCTTTGTTGCCACGGCCATGCTGCTTGATTACAATCATAATTGAGTCAAATTTGAGCGCATTCAAAGACTTCATAATAAGTCAAGTTACTACAGCTCAAATAAAGTTTGAGTAAATAGTTACATGGCTCGTCTCGACTCATTTACACTCTTAGAAGCATGAAACGAAATCACAACTTCTAAGCCCCCGGTGAGTCCTCTTAAAAGCAGCCTTATGTTCGTTCATGCTTGTTGTGGGTGTATTGTATTTCACTCTCAGTAAAAAATTGATTTAGACTTTGTTCTCTTTAAGAATTTAAAAATGTGGATGTCTTGAAATTCCACTTTAAGTAAAATATCAATTAAAAATTATATTATATTTGAAGACAAAATATTTTAGTTCTATAAATAAATTAGAGACCGCACAGTTTCTTTTGAAGATTTTGCCCCTAGTTTTGAGCATCCATGTTTGATTATATTCTTTTGATTAGAAAATTTTATATAATTTCCCTTTGTTGATAGTGAAATTTTGCTTTTGCGCTACGCCTGTGGGCGTAAGCTTTTTAGCCGATCCACGTAAATTCTTACTCTTTTTTTTTTTTTTTGTGTTTAGTTTATTTATTTGTGGCTTTTGTTCATAACAATGCCAAAGTGGAACCAAATTGTATTTGGTTTTGGACAAGGTTTTTGACATCAATACTTTTGTGCACTTGAAGCAAAAAACAGTTATTCTGTATTACTCTTTCATTTACAACGTTAATTCATCTCTCTTATATTCCAACCCCGGCTAGATCAAAGCTCTATTCACCAGTTTTCAAATATGGGACTCAACAGCTTCCCAAGTAATGTACAAAAATGGAAAGGCTACGAATTAGAAAAGCGAAACTGTGATGGGGTTTATACATAAATGCTTGGTAGTGTAGTAATTTCTAGAGGAACTCTTCGTTAACTTTATGTGAAAGTAGTTTCACTAGGTGTATTGTATATGTTATGTCCTTTCAAGAATCCTCTATTCCCTATTCAGTCTGTTTTAGCTCTGTTGAATGTCCTCTTTTTCCAAAAATGAAACAATTTTCTTACCAAAAAAAAAAAAGAAGAACTTTTAATAAACTCTTTGGGTATGTGACATGATGCATCTTCTCGATTACTTATGACGATTGTTGTGAGCAACTTTTTTATGAACATATTCTCGGATTAACTTTAAGGCAGGTATTGAACTTCATCATACATATCTTTCAAATTAGGTAGTGTAATTCCTGAGTAGCTCTCGGGATAGTAAATCAAAAAAACTTTGGGCATGAAACTAAATTTTAAACTAAATTTGAACTGCATCATACATATCTTTCAAATTATGTTCAATTTTTTGTATCATTAATTGAAACAAAATTTTACCAACGAAAAAGAAAAAAGGCTAGAATGTTCTCTAATCTACATAAATATACCTTCTGTCATTCATAAATACATATCTATGAAATCGAGACTCTGTAACATATTGCCTCTCCCAATGCATACCAACAAAATTTACCCAGCAATATTTCCTGGAAATACTCCTCACTCAATACATTAATATATACTTTGGAGATCACTGCCAAATTCTAAACAGAGAAACCCAGCCGAGCTGAGAATAAAGAGCCTAGAAACGACACCTGTATCCCATGTGCACTTCTGAAACTCCCCTCTAACTTCACTCACACTTCTCTCTCTCAGGTATATGATCAGGCCTATCCAACTCAATAGCCCTAAACAAGACAAATGCCAAACCAATCACCTTGAAGCCCTATTACACAAATGTAGAACTTTGTCAAAACCAAAGCAAACTCTCCCATTTCCATCTAATTACCATCCCACCTTCTCCCTTTCTCTCTCTCTCTCTCTCTCTCTCTCTCTCATTTTCAGAAGCATTGTAAAAAACAAATGCCCACATTGAAAAACCCTCAAATCATTAAAACCATCTTCAATTAGTAGCTTTTCTTGGCAATTTTTTGATATGTGCGACTTAAATTCCCTTCAAATAACAGCTTTTCTCAGTTTGTCTGCAAACCCTCTTAAGTCAAAGGCAATTCCAGTGACGCCATGAAAAGGAAGAAGTATAAATCAGCCCATAATAATTGTCACAAGTAGCTACAATAATAGGGGTATGATTAGGGTTTGAAGGATTTCATTCATTATTCTTTATTCTTCATGTTTTTATTCTTTAATGTTATCTGTTGAGAAGGAAATATATTAACTATACATACAGCAGAAGAAACAAAAGGCGCATAGTTAGCGCCGATGAGTCATGATACAATAATATTCTGGTTGTGATTATAAAAGAGTAGTTTTGCAATACTTAAATTGTTTGATTCCATAGAGTTGGTGGCAGTTTTGGAGGGATTGAGAAAGAAAGATAAAAGTGAAAGAAGAGAACACAAGTATCTGGGTTTATGAAGAGGATAACTACTTTAACCTACAATGACCTAATGATGATGGTAATAAGACCAGAGAAAAGGGGATCGATGTTCTGATGTATCTGACTTTGTCTCTTTGAAAACCTTTGTCTGTGCTTTGTGGGTTAGTTTAATTGTGTACTGAGAGAATGTCAGTGAGGTACTGAATCGGAAAAAGAGCTCACTGTATGCCATCGCAGGTTTTAGTCGGTTCTTCAAAATGCTTTCCCCCCCCCCCTCTCTCTCTCTCTCTCATCGGGATAATTCATGCATATCTCGATTTATTTTATTTTTAGTTTGGTAAAAGACAGCGTCGAAACTAGAATATTAATGAATGATAAATTCCTCACAACTTAATTCTAAAGGATCGTAAAAATTCAAATTCAAAACATTTCAATTTATAACTCACCCATGTTACCATTTGAATTATCTTTGATAGTTCTCTCTTGTACACACACATAAACACCATAAATGCACTCAAACAATTTGTGGATGAATAAAATTTTATTTACCTAAAAATAATGGAGTAGTATTGATTATCCTCATCTTTTATTTCAAAATTTTTGCACCGCAGTTGAAGGATAGCAGATGCAGTTCTAATAGTGCACAGCTTCAATTGGAACTAGATTGATTCATATGCTTTTGTCTACCCAATGACAGACATTGAAATTTTCTCTCTCGATGTTTTTCTTAACCAAAATTCTAGAATGAACTGATGCAATGAAGGTTACACGGTTTCAACAAAGAATTACCTAATTACTTCCCACTATATGCAAAGAAAACTTACTACGACAATGTATGTGGTTGGTTAAACTACATGGAAAGCAAATGCCTTCCATGTCGTGATATTCTCTTTCCACGAAATCCTAATGTGAAACTAGAACTCACATTACTTCTACATTTATGCAATATATCATCAATTTCTGTTTCAAGACGATTAGTTACTGTCTGGAGGCTGGAATTTCGATATTTTATTTTCTTGAATGTTCTGAGGCTAATGACCTTGTGAATATTAATGGATTCAACTTATCTCTCATTGTTGTTAAAGTCAAGCAGAGATCTATTCATCTTTACATGCATCCTCTTTCTAATACTATAGAAGAGACAAATATCTGAACTCTGAAACTTTTCTGTGATTTCTGTATGGTAATGGTCACACCCTGAAAGTTTAAAAAAAAAAACACTAAAGAAAGGTAGAAATAATGCTGAAAGCCAAGCGTCCTTGACCTTTAGATGAAACTAAAAAGGCAAAGAAGAAGAGTAAACAACAGAAATGAACAAATAAAACAAGTGATATGTATGGTCTTATAAGCACAAGGGTTTGCCATTTTATTTCACCTTAGGCCGTTCACCAAGCCTTAGCTCAAGGTCCAAATCCTCTATGGGGTTAGGGCTGAGTACAAATACCTCTGATTGCTGATGATGTCTATCAACTGTGCTTGATTTAGAGAATAAAGCTAATGGTGTTCCGTCGTCGGTTCTTCTTCTCTTGCAGCTTATAGCCTCTTCCTTTGCACCAGCTGGAGTCGAGTTAGTTCTACATAAAACCAAATTCAAACTTACAGACAAATCGGCTGTGACATATTCTCCCTTAACCCCACCGTTTGACTCCAGAATTTTTGAATTTTTCTCTTCATTCTTAAAATCCAAGATATGATGATGTCTGTCGGCAGCCATGTTTGACCTCGATGGAGGCGATGATATGGAGGTTCTCTTGTGGAATTCATGAAAAATAGGAGAGAAAGGTGGGACCAAAGTCTTTTCATCTCCATAAGTTAGTGTCGGTGGAGCTTTAACCCCAGAAGCTGAGGAAGGTGATGCAAAAACTCTATGATCAGCATCAGAACTAGGGTTGTAAAGCAAAGTACAGATTTGTGATGGGTGTTGAACATCCAAAGATGTACAAGGATTCAGAATATGATTAAAATTATTCTGATGATGCAGAATTTCATTTTGTGGACTTGGAGACTGTTTCAATCTAGCCCTATCCCTCCTGTGGACATTCATGTGCCCACCTAGAGCTTGAGCAGACCTAAATTCTCTTCTACAGAAACTGCAAGAGTAAGATCTTGGAGGCCATATACATCCGCCAAGAGCTCCAGCTGCATCTTCTGCAAAAGCTTGTTCTTCCCATGAATCACCATATGAAGGATTGGTAGATGCAAGAATATGAGAATTGAATCCGTGTTTTCGCTTTGTCCACATCCAACAACGTGCTTGCTCCATTGATATTCGACCTTAATTGAATCTGCTGAGCTGCGAGCGGAGATGGAATCACAGAGATGGGAGATTCAGATAAGGAAATGAATGTAGATGGGTGATGGCCAGTCTGATCAAAGTTGGAGTGATTGAAAGCTATAGGAGAATCTATGAGGAAAAGAGGGTTAGATAAAAATATGTGAAAATTCTTTCTAATTTAAGGGGCTCTGGAAGGTGAAGTGGTGGGTACTCAAGTCTGGCCATTTCAGTATAGCTACTTCTTTTGGTTTTTAGTAGGCCTTCTACACAAGAACTGAAACGATTCCATTCTTATTTATATATTTGTTTCTGCAATTTCGTTGTGAGGATGGGAACAATAGTTCAGAATTTTTTTTGTGTGGGTCCTAATAAGTCTATCCCGTAGAGAGAGGGGGTTTTAGTACAAGGAAAATGATATGTTTACCAAAACAATTTACCGAATCTTCCATACTAAATGATGTACCACAATTTTCGAATATTAATGGAATCCACTTTGATGGTGAAAAATTATGCCACATTATTTGAAATAAAAATTTAATAAAAAAATTTGGTATGTGTAACATTACCCTTGGTACAAAGGGAGATCAGCTGGTTCACTGATTGGAATGTCATACCAGATTTCTAGGGAATAATTTTTTTTTTTGGGTAAATAAAATTGAATTGAATTCCAAAAGTAGCAATAGCAGTAGCTAATATAGGTTAAGTTTAGATAGCATGCAGTAGCTTATTATAGGATGCCTACCATTTCCTCTTGCAATTTTGATTTCACATTCACATATAGATAAACCCCTAACATTTGGAAAATTACTAGTCTTGTAGCCTGTAGTAGTTCCAAAGCTAGAAAACTAAGCCCTCCATATTGGTTAATCTGTAATAGCTCTTTAGCTTAGAGTCAAAGTAACAAGATTTTTTGTTTCCTTTTACCACAATATTGTTAAAGTCTGAGTGACCATATAAGTGCCAGTTATGCCAAGTGCTGACCTACTGGAATGACAGAAGAGTCACAGGCTAGACATCTGCCAGTGAAACACACAGCCAAAAGAATCCAAATTTAAGATATCGTTTGATGAACTTAATTTTAAATAATTTTTTTATATATATTTTTGATTGTTTTATCTTTTCCAAATTTCCTCCTTTTCCCCGGCGCCATTTTAATCATATGTGCATAGTATTGCACTATATAAGTATATCATTCATATATTATGATTAAGATTAATATAGATTGCTTTTACAACATAACAATGTGTTAACAAATAATATATAAATGTGCTTGAATCATCATTGATAATTCATCAAAATGATCAATGATGATTCAACATACTGTCATTACCAATTTCCATCCTTTCTACTAATTTGATTTAAAAACTCCATGTAACAGATTGGTGTTCTTTTCGTGTTGATGTTCCTCTTTCTTTCCCCATGAACGTTTGAATCTCATTTGAGTTGATGTTCTTTTTGCTTCCCCATGGATGTTCGAATCTCATTCAAGTTCATGTTCTTTTTGCCCAAATTGTAAGGTTTTCATGTGACAAATAGACAAGAGAAGAACAAAATAGGCAGGACTAACCTTTTTTGGCAAGTAATCGTTGGAAAACAATCCCGTTTTTTGAAAAAAATTTGAAGGCTTCGTTATATATCTAGATTTTTGGTACGATCTTATATCGGTTTAAAATAATATTAGATGTGTGTATATAGACTCTTGGAGACCCTTCTCTTGTAAGGCGATTTTTAGGGGTAAGTTCTATCCATGAGTTCACAATAATTGATATCAGAGCTAGCCATTATGTCAAGTTAGGATTGAACGCAGTGTGAGCTATGATTCTTTGTGGTCGAGTCACATAAAAGGCGACATATAAATTGGGTTAAGATGATTTGATATTATGTATGAGTATAGTACTTTCTCATTGACTATTAATAGACGAGTGAAACCGTTAAACAAAAAAAACTTACCGCTAAGTAAGTGTAACAGAATGGGCCAACGTGGACGTTGGCTATGGAAGCATGGTGGAATGTTACGATCCCACATCTAGATTTGTATATATAAACTATTAGACATCCTTTCCTTGTTAACCCATTTTTAGGAACAAATTCTACTCAGGGTTCATAAAATTTTTTAATCCAAAACAAATTGATAGATCTTATCCTTGGACCATCTTATTGCGGTCAAGTTTTCTCTTGGGAAAGCAAATAAGAATTGCAGGTCGAGAAAGATTTAGAAGGCTATGGAATTAGGGGTTTCCCCAAAGGATTCTGCATGCTTCCACCTTAAAACAAGGAGGAAAAAAGGAATGTTGGAGCCAATATGAAGTAAACTAGAGAGTAAGTTAACTATTTTTTTATGAAAATTCACCAGAATGGAATGAAACCGTAGCTTTATACAAAAACTTAATCTTTTGAAAAGAAATCTTCTTCCATCAATGGGGAAGGAGTCTACTATTCAAGCTTCATGACCTGGGGAAGAAACCCAAGGGATCTACAATATTCCCTTTTGATACACTTGCATCAACTACCCATTAATGATGAATTATTTCTTACGAATTCAAATAGGACACACTATATATAAAAGAACCTTTCACCGTTGCATGTTGGGGGAACCTCTTTTTGGCCCAGGCTGATCCCATTAAGTTCCTAACATAATCGGGCGTTTGGTGTTTAGTTACACTTGCACTTGGCAAGTTTCATGATTGGGTGGTAAAATTCAACCTCTAAACTCTCCTACAATTACAAGGGTTGTGCCTGGAAGTCTATCAATAAATTAAAGTGAAAAATGCTACACAAATTCACAAATTCGATTCAATTTTCTTGGTCGGCGATGTGCCAATGGCCTGTTCTTGTCAATTCACACATAATGTAATTGATTCATTTTTCCTCGGACGTGATGGGGTAGATTAATTTTGCGTTTGCTATACTCAATAAAATAAGCATTACTTGCACAGTTCCCTCACAACTAAACCCCACTAGTATTTGAAGCTGAATAAAAAAGGTGCAATCTAATGACTGACGGAACACTTCAACGAACTCGTCATGCATGGTTTGATATCGAAGCGAATATGCGTTCCTTTATATGTTTGTCAAGAGGAAAACTACAAAAAACAGACGGCCAAGCTAATGGGTCTCCCTTTAGCTTTACAAGGAAGCATCTGATCATCTCTATGTAAAGAGTTAATATCCTGTTAATGGAAAAGAGGGATTGATTTAATAAAGAAGCGATGGACCTAGATTTCTTAGCCTAATTGCTTCTCTTAATGTTTATATATTTAATCCACGAGGATTAGGTTAAAAAATCTCATTACTCCCTTGTACTTTAAATCAATCTCCTCATTTATATGATAAAGTATACTAAAACAATATACAATTGATACTTATTCACTTTCTATTTTTTTCTTTCACATAGTATCAGAGCCTAGGATCTAGAATCCTTCTGTCCAAGGATTTTATACTTTGTGGTTGTCCTGCGAAGGATCATCCACATTAGAACTCTTGAGACTTTTCCTTTTTTAGTCATTCTTTGGTGACCTTCTGGTCATTTTCCGGTGAAGTTTCGATCTGCCCAGCCATCCTCCAGCAACCTTTCCAGCCATCTTCTAGCGAACTTTAGACAAACCTCTGGCAACGTTTTGATATGCCCCAGCCATTCTTTAACGACCTCTGGCTATCCTTCAGCGAATTTTTGGTCAAACTCCGACAAAATCTTGATCGCTTTCCAGCCATTCTCTGTCGACGTTCTGGTTTGCTCTGACCATCCTCCGACAACCTTCTGACCATCCTCTAGCAACTTTTTGGTCACTCTCCGAAGACGTTTCGATATGCCCAATTGTCCTCCAACATCATTTTGTTGCCCTCCATCAACGTTCTGACTTGCCCCGGCCAGTTTATCGTGTTCGTTCTAGAACTTTAGCCTTCTTTTTGTATTGAGTAACTTTCTTATATCTTGACAGAGTAAAAAACAAACAGTTGTTGCTTACTATAGTACTAAGGTTGAGTATCGAGCATTTATTGATACTACTTCCGAGCTTCTTTGCCTTCACTAGCTTTTATAGGATATGAATGTTCCTCACTAGTCTAGTACTCATCTTTATTGTGACAACCGCAGTACTATTTAGATTGCTCACAATAATGTCTTTTATAAGCACACAAAACATATCGAGATCAATTGTCATTTCGTACGTTGACATCACCTACAGGAAAACACCCTTCGTCTTTTTTTTGTTGCTTTAGCTGGCTGATACCTTCACGAAGGCTCATCCATCTAGATTTACCGTGATTTTGTTTTGCAAACTATAGTCGGTATCTTCGATCCCTCCTTGAGTTTGAGGGGAATATTAATGTTTATATGTTTGTCCCATATCGATTAAACTAGGAAACCTCACTACTCTCTTATACTAAAAATCAACCTCATCATGTATATGGTAAGAGCAATGCTACATGAACTTAAAAAATAGACTTAAAAATTAAACTTGATAATCTCAACCATTGATTTCACTGTAGGTCCCAGTATTTATTGAGACCCACTCCCTATTCAATAATTAAAATTATCAAGTCCAATTTTTAAGTCTAGTTTTTAAGCAATACATAATTGATATTTATTTTTAATTCCCTTCTTTTACATCTTCTCCTCGTTTGCTTCAATATCTTGTCAAATGAGTAGTCAATTTTCACCATCCTTTATCGGATAATCGATATAACATATGGTTGACCAAATTTAAATTTGGATAATCAATATAAAAATTTATATCCGCCCAACTAGTCAATTTTGTATCAAACTAAAATAAATTAACAAATGGACCCCACAAAAATTATTAATTACCTTGTCGTGTAAACAAATAATTCCACACTCTTCTGTCATATAAGTCTAAGTGGAATTAACCTTATCCATTTGAAATTTTATTATGGTTGGGGATACCATCTTATCAATGGTGACATAATATTACCATTATATTTAATATTTATTCCAAGAAAATCATTATAGCAATAATAATCTCCTGAGACTAATATAGTCTTTGTAATCAAGACAACTCAGTCAAAGGTTAATCAGAGAGGGTCCTCTCGTATTAATTCTTATAAAAAAAATGGAAAAAAATTTGTTGGAAAAGAACTGAACAGCTAATTTATATCGGTAGGCACAAGAGAAAAGTAATAGTAGATATACAAATATTTTATTGTTCCAGTGTTATTCAAAGAAGCAGTTTCTGGGATAGTACATGTGGAAAGAGATTTGAAGCTAAGACTTTCCCAAGTTAATTAATATTTATTGACATCATTATCCAGAGGCAGAATCCACTAATTCCAAAAGAAGAGACACAAGAGAAATGACATATACCTTCTCCTAGTATATAATATGTGATACTTCAAGGGCTAAGATTTCAATTTCCATTACAATATTATAGTAAGATTGTCCCATCTAGGAGATTCTACTTAATACGCATGTCTTCTTTCTCAACTTGTTTGAAAGAGAAAAAAAGGTAATGACCTCCTTCTAGTTCTTGTCTTTTATTTAGTGAACAACGCAGAGAAAGAGAGAGAGTGAGAGAAATTCTTAAATATGACATGACACTGGTGATTGGGACATGAATGGAGTAAACATCCCCTAACTGTGATTATTATATTTTTTGAACTTGACAAATTCTATTTGAAACTCTTATAGTTGCTTTGTTACTGAAGCGACGTCAGTTTTCACACTAGCTGTCATTCGTGAATAGTTTGTCAAATAGATAAAACCTATACTTATAATAATAATGAGAAGAAAAATTGTGAAAAAATAGAATAAAAAACCAATATCAATTCTATATTATTTTGAGTGTGATTTATTATATACATGAGAAGGTTTATTTAGGGTATATTTGGATCACGGGGGATAACTACGGTAGGATAGGAGAAAAAAAATGTAGGACTTATTTATCTCATATTTGATAAGTAAAAAAAATGCATTAAAAATCTCACTCCAATTTATCCCAACTTGATTTGAAAAGTCAATTTTGTACTGCTTATGCAAGTTAAATGAAACCCAAGGAGTGCGGTTAACTTGGCCACAGATAGAATATCTCTGTATAATTATTATTCTGTCCTTTTTCATTTGTTAACCCTACTATTGGCTTGTCTCATTCTTCAGCTGGTGCTTGCATTCATCAGTGAAGAAATGGCTTTCTTTTGAAGATTAAAACTAGAGGCAAGAGCATTATGGTGAGAAGTGAATGACCCATGTGCGTGAGATGTAAAAATTTCTGCCATCAATGAAGTTCAATGAACGACCTTAACCAAATCACGAAATCGACCTGGCGGATATGTCTTGGTGAAGATGTCAATAGTCTGGTTAGATGAAGAAACAAAGACAAGATGAATTGAGCCTCCAACCACATGTCATCGCACAAAATGACAATCAATCTCAATATGTTTGGTGCGATCATGGAAAACATAATTGTGAGTAATTTGTATCACACTCCGACTGTCACAATAAAGAATAGTATCATTAGAATGAGAGACACCTACATCTTATAAGAGCCAAAGAAGCTCCTAGGTAGTATTAGCAAGAGCGTGATACTCTCCCTCTTTACTAGATCAACAGATAATAGGTTGTTTCTTGTTGCGCCAAGAATTGAGAGAGTTGCCTAGAATGAAACAATAACTAGTGATAAAACAACGATCAATAGGATCTCCAGCCCAATCAGCATCCGAATAGACATGTAGCATAAGAGATGAGTGAGTAAAGTAATGAAGATCATGAAAGATAGTACCCTTAATATATTATATAATATGAAGAACAACAACATATTGAGTAGACTGAAGGCCAGTCAAAAATTGGCTGACAAAATGAACATCATAGACCATATCTGGACGAGTAACAGTAAGATACACAAGACCGCTTACCAACTGGTGATAAAGAGTGGCATCAAAGAGAAGTTTCATCCAAGGGAGAAAGTCAAACAATTAGTGAGTCTAAAACAAGTAAGAAGATCATAGGCATACTTGACCTGAGAGAGATAATACCCACTAGAGTCAAACGACATGTCAAGGCCCAAGAAAGAGCTGAGATAACCAAAATCCTTTATCTCAAATTGTGTATTAATAAAATTTTTGAGATCATTAATTCCAAAAATATCATCCCAAGTGATAATTATATCATCCATATAGAGACGAAGTAGCGTGATGTCATGCCCAGTCTAACGAACAAGGAGAGCTGAGTTATAAGGGGTAGAAGAGAAACCAAAATCTTTTATAGTAGCACTAAACTTCGCAAACTAGGCTCTAAGGACTTGCTTTGAGACCATAAAGTGCACGACGGAGTCGACAAACATAATGGGTGAAAAAGGATACCTAGGGGGAGGCTGCATGTAGACTTCCTCAGTAAGTTCATCATTAAGAACTATATTTTTGACATCCATTTGATATAATTTTTACTGACGAGTGGCAGCAACAACCAGTAGGCTTTGAACTGAAGTGAGACGCACAATGAAACAAAAATCTCATCATAATCAATACCATATTCGTGTGTAAAACCCTTCGCCACTAGACGAGCCTTGTAATGTTGATCAATAGAACCATCAGAGCAAGTCTTGATGTTATAAACTCATTTACAACTAATAGCTAGTTTGCTAGAAGGAAGATTAACCAAATTTCAAGTATGTGTCTTCTAGTGCCTGTAACTCTTTTGGCATTGGTTACTGCCAATAAGGGTCAAAGCTAGCCTCGCAATAAGAGTGAGGTTCATTTTGAGAAAGAATAATGGAGAAAAACAATCATGCAAACGAACAAAATATTCATTGCCCAAGTGGAATGATGCAGTTGATGAGTAGGAGAATGAGTATCAACATAAAGTGGTGTAGAGGATACAAGAGTTGACGTATGATCACTATTAGTATGAAATGGGACAGAAATAGGATCAGCAAGTAGGGCAGAAGCCTCTAGATGGTCCATAGATGGGAGCTTAGATGAGTCTAGATGTGGGTCATTAGGATGTGGGTCATCAGGATATAGATTCATAGATGAACCAATAAAGAGAGGAAAAGTAGTGGCAGGCGAAAGCTAAAAATGAGACAAGGAGGAGAACATCTTGTGTTCCTAAAAGATGACATGTCGAGAAGCACGAAGATTCTTAGAATATAGATCCCAATAGCGATAACTTTTATGTTCAATCTCATAACTCAAGAAACAACAAAAAATGCCCTAGATTCTAACTTAGTATGTTCATGAGGCTGAAGTAAGACAAAACTTGCATAACCAAAAACTCAAAAAGAATGGTAATCAAGGGAAGTGTCATACAATCGCTCATATGGAGATACATTCTCAATAATGTGAGAGGGAATATGATTGATGGTATAAAAAGTTATAGGAGTAGCTTTACTCAAAAACGCCTAGGACATGAAGAAGAGATAAGAAGTCCACAAATAGTATCAAGAATATAACGATGTTTGGGATCAACACATCCATTTTTTTTGAGATGTACCAAGACAAGAACGATGAGAAATGGTGTCATGTTGACTGAGAAAAGTAAAGGAATGTGGAGCCTCCATATTTCATGACATTATCAGATTTAAAGATTTTAATGGACCGTGAGAATTGAGTTTGGACCATTTTGGCAAAACTATAATAAATTTGTAACAACTGCGATCGAGTTTGCAAAAGATAAATCCAAGTGAATCAAGAATAGTTATCAATAAAAATGACAAAGTACTTTGATCCTCCCATAGTAACAGTTGGAGATGGTCCCAAAATATCAAAATGGGCAAAAGACTAAGAGTTACTATCATTGAAAGGTAAAATTGGTTGTTTTGTAAGTTTAGAAGACAAACAATCAAGGTGTCGACTATGAACTTGCCCTAACTGACTACTAGAAATTAAATACTTTAGACAACTTGAAGAAACATAATTCAGATGGAAATGCCAAATATT